ACACACATATACACACACATAGATACATACATAACATACACACACACACAGACTGTGAATGTATATGTATATATATATGTACACACACACACACACACACACACATACACACACGTGTCTGTGTGCGCGCATGTGTGGGGTGGTGGTGTGTGTGAGTGTGTGTTTGTTTGTTTGTTTGTGTGTACGTATTTAAAGAAAAACTGCAAATGTATAGAAGTTTTATTAAGCCTTACATAGAAACCAGTGTTTGTCTCGATAAGCATACAAAAAATTCCAAACTTGCAAACAGTACAAATTCAAATGTGAGCTTGTTTGGCAAAAGTTTGCAATAATGAATAACACAGGCGTTTTAAGGCAACTGCAGTTCTATGGAAACATTTCCATTAATTAAAATGATATTACATAACTGATCGCGTGGAATTGGATGCGTTGGCACACTCACTCTTCGGCTTGATTAACTATATCTGAGCATTTTCTTTTATCAATACATTTATTAGCGTTGAATGACACAAGCGGAGAGAGGATGGGGTAGAACCGTGGCGTGAACTGATTCATAAACATGCTACAATATGTGAAACACAATCAATCTGCGTCGTATTGTTCTTATCAGAGTGTAAAAATATATCCTCCACAAGAAGGGGGATACAGTACGAAGAAAAAAAATTGATCTTAACTCTTCTTTACACGAGAGAGGATACAGTACGAGGAAAGAGTTTATTTTAACTCTTCTTTACACGTGGGAAAGAAAATTGGTTGCCTTCGACTGCGGAGAAAATGAAAAAAAAGGTCCCTCTTTCATGGTCTCCAACAAAATTAGGATTCCTTTAAGCTCGGATCCCACTGTCCGTCTCTGACAGGCTACTAAAACCTATAGGTCTTTTTTGGCCAGATCCTGTGTCTTTTTTCGGGGCTAATATGGATCTCTCGTGGATAAAGAAATGTAATAAATAAAATAGCGCCTTTGGGTGTGGGTTTGTAGTCAATATAGAAATATGATAAATAAAATAGCGCGTTTGGGTGTGTCAATGACAATACGGACAGGGACGTCATTTTAGATTTTTCTTGGTTGGGGTGGGGTGGGGGTGTAGGGGGTAAGGTTGGCGAGCGAAAAGGGCACAAAAAATCAGTTTCCGAGGCGCTGCAAGCCCCCCCCTCCCCCTCCCCCTAAAGAAAAAGAGTAAAAAAAAATCAACTATACTAGGAGCATTTTTTCAGCCACGACCAGAGCTACAAAAGTGTAATTTAGGGGAAAAAAAAACAATCATGGGAGTGTGGCTCTTGTCGAGTGGGGACAAATGACGAACCTAAATACGAGTGACTAGTAAACTTGCATTGTACACACTCATACACAAAAATGCATACACATATATACATACATACACATACACACACGCACGGACACACACACACATACAACTAATTGCTTCGGGATCAAGAAGAGTAATTAAAAAAAGTACTTGATAGAAATTAGAGGACACCTTTAGTCAAATCATTTCGGGACTGTTGTTTAACCTTATTCGTCTCATCATTGTTGATTCTTTTTTAACCTCGACTCATCCGCTCTGTTCCTGTTTGACTTAAATGCTGTCTAAATGCAATAACCCTTAACCCTACACATGCACTGACTTTTACTCTGGACAGACGTTAATATCACAAGGCGCCTGTAATGCTTGCTAGATCGCATGACGTCACGCGCGGGCCCCTAACGGACTTCAAGATGGCAGATCTGGATGTGGCCAGTTCCGCTGATTTTCTGTAGCGACAGAAACCTGGCGGTCATGGGCGAAGTGGCCTCGATCACAATTTCCTGGCTGAATGAAGACGCAGGCCCGATGAAAATCCCGAAGAAAGCATAGGAACTGAAATCCCCGAGCGTGGCCACAGGGGACATTCCTACTCGGACCTCCAGATTCGCCAAGTAGGTCGGCATATATGTCTGTCCGCTCGGCTGGGAAAAGAGCGTGACGGATCGGAGGGACACCGGAGCCCCGAAGTCGAGCACGAACCAGGGATTCGTAACGTCATTCGCGCTTGTGAAACATGCGTTTAGTGTGAAGCGATCGTAGATTCCGTCCACGAGGTTTCCCCCCACCCTCAGGGGAGCAGTGTAATAAACAGTCGCGGTCTGGATGGTAGCTCCAGTGGCGTAGTCCTTGCGGCGTTGAGTGTAGCAGACGAGCGCATCGGTAGTGGAATCCTCCTCGTAGTTTGGCAAGACGATCATGTTGGAGAGTAAGCACTGGTCTGTGGAGGCGTCAGAGCACCACAGGTCACACCAAGACTGGAGGCTGCAGATCAGTGAGCACCGGAGAGTGTGCGAAGAGCCCAGGGTCATGAGGACGGGTTCGAGGAGCTGGGAACCAGTGATCTTCGCTTCCGACACCAGAACTCTCGTGTAGAACGCACTCTGGACAGCCAGGGATGGCGGCCACAGCAGCATCGTCAGCGTCATAGTCATTGCTATCAGTGCACCTTCCATCCTAAACGAGACGAGCACGCTGTATCTGTAGATACAGGAGCAAATGTTTCAACACTATCGAAGGTACTAGGCGTCAAGTGATATGCATACAAGTATACACTGCATTAACAAGTGTTAAAATGAAATTACGGAAATATTATGTGGACATGCACACGGGCACGCACACACACACACAAACACATACACATAAATAATTATATATATATTTATATATATATGTATATATATATATATATGTATATATATATACACACACACATATATATATACAGGGTCTCCTAGTAGGTCTCCAAAATCATAGATCTTGGTCTTGGTCCAGAGTTGCTCCACAGTGACTTTGGACAGTAGCTCTACCCAGTATCCAATCCATACAAGTGTTGAAAAGTGTAAGAACACAGCCTTGCCTCACGCCTGAACAGGGAAGACGCTCGACAGGCCCCCACCACAATTTACAACACTCTCAGTACCTGTATAAAAGTTTGCTATTAATCCAACAATCCTTGTTGGAATTCTCTTAGCCTCAGGATCTCCCAGAGTGATTCGCGATGCACCGTATCAAACGCCTTCTTAAGGTCGATGTAGGCTGCAAGTAGCCCACGACCGAACTCACGACGGCGCTCTACAATGACTTGAAGCGCCAGGATGGGGTCGATTGTAGACTTACCAAGAGTGAATCACAATTGCTCCGGCCTGTGGCGTCTCAGTAAGATGTGTGCGAGTGCCTTGCCTGGTATACTGAGCAGTGTAATGCCTCGGTCATTGCTGCAGTCTCACCGATCCCCTTTCCCCTTCCAGAGAGGGATGACCACGCCCCTCAGCAGGTCAGAGTGTAAGGGTTTATAAGGGACATCTAAACATTGATGACAGGGAGTAGTAAAAGTTTAGTGGCTTAAAACTCTTTTATTGATAGCGCTAGCAAGCACTCGGAGTTGATACACAATATGACACTTGGGTATTGGCCGGTCGGCTAGAGGGTCGCCCGGGGTCACTGGCGAGTCCAGCCCCGGTCAGACGTGACCTCGACTGCGGCAGGGCAAACTCTCCTTTGACCGGTCAAAACGCGGCCTTAAGTATCCGAGGCGGGAGACGAGTGGGAATGAGGCTAGGTAGCAAGCGGTGTGGGTACACTTCGCTGGGCGGCTTGGCGTGGTGTAAGCATCCACGTGGTCGCATACAGTATATTGTATATTGCTCGGCCACCTACTCACGGCTCGTCCTCGAGGCGATCTAGAATTCCTTCAAGGGTGACCCAACCTGGCTGGTTCCAACTTGCTCATCCTCGATCACGGGTGCAGTATCCTTGGTGCATCTCCGTGGCTGCTCGTTCTGTGTCGTCATCCTCGCTCTGGTCCCTGGGAATCCGTTCGTTCTTGACATCCTCACGTCCTCGACTCGCGCGGTCCTCGCCAGACATCCTCGTAGTCTGCGTACAGGTCAAACTCGGCGGCTTTTTCGCCCAATGCACGTCTCGCATATCTCCGTCCAGGTCCTTCTCGGCTGAGCGCTCGTACAGACGTCCTCGTAATCTTCGTCAGGATCTACGGGCGTCCGGCAGGAAGTGTCCTCTTCGACATCGTAGGGTGGCTGATACTTGCACTAATGAGCTCCTGGAGTTTGACTGGGTCTGCGGCGTCCAGGCAGGTGGCGCCCGTCCACAGCATCATAGGACGGCGAACCTCTACTGGTGAGCTCCTGTCTTCGCTGGATCTCGGGTGTCCTGGCGAGCGGCGGTCTCCGATGACGTTTTCTAATGGCTTCCGAAGGTGACCGTTTCTGCAGCAGGGCCTCCTTCGGTGCCGTTTCAGATATCGGGAACCAGAATAACACGTAATGGGCCAGATAGTGAGAGAAGGAAAAACGACAGAGAAGAGAAGGTGTTAAATGCTACAAGCCGATTTTTTGTTTCATAATTTGCAGTTTTTAAAGTTGAATTTTCGTTATTTTCGTCTTTTTTTATTTTGTGCTTTATGTTCACAAAGTTAAGCTAAAAGAGGAAAATAGGAGAGGGAGACAGTGATAGCGTCCGCAAGGACATCTTGAACTACCAACCTGTCTCTAGATAGATACGAGAATAAAGTCAGGGGGACAACAATTGGCAACCCGCAAGGATTTTACTTGAACCATTTGTCGCACCCGAAGAAAGTATGTAAATACGAAATCATGTACAAGTCGCGCATCACAACTAACAATATTGCGGCAAACAAATACATATGCCTGCACTAAGACAGCAGCAAATCCTATTAATGAAGTTTTCAGTGTCTCTGTTCTGCGTCGGTCAGTGAGTGAGTATGTGTGCATGTTTGAGTGACAGTGATTGATGAGTGTTAAATGGAAATAAGAGTGACCTATAGCAGTAGAGTTGCCAACACGCTGAATAAAGTTCATATTTACCATAATATGACTAATTATTTATAGACGTAATTCAAAATTATTTCAAGTACCACACTGAATTTAACATTTAATGATATGCGACAAAATGACGCATTAATGAATGGTGACGTGAAATTATTCGCAAGCCTCTTCGCGAGCAAATCTTCTCGGGAATTTCCCCGAGGAAGTAGGTGTCTTTACCGACCATGCAGATTTCATTTGACGGGGGGGGGGGCTTCCCCAAAAATTGCCATATCTTATGAAGCTTAAACGAGCTGGGAAAATCTATAAATTACCCACTCTATCTGCGGATCTATGATGGGCGCTCATGAAATGCCCTGTGGAGATTTATCATGAATCACGAACCGATGGGATTTTACCCAACATGACGGAGACATATAAAAGTGTGAGCGGGTTGTGATTAATTAAGTGGATCCTTGTAAGGGGTTATAAAGGGAGAAACCTCTAAACATTGGTGACAGGGAAGTAGTAAAAGCTTAGTGGCTAAAAACTCTTTTATTGATAGAGCTAGCACACAGAGAATAAACACAAGATGACAGTCTTGGGTTATGGCTGGTCACTTGGGGTCACCCGGGGAGCTGTCCAGCGGGCATGTGTGCTCCTCCTGACCTCGCCAGTCACACTCTGCTTTGACCGGTCAAAACGCGGCCTTAAGTATCGGAGGCGGGAGACGAGTGGGAACGAGGCTAGGTAGCAAGCGGCGTGGGTATGTTGGCTTGGCGTCACGATAGCTGTCCCCAAGTGGACTCTGATTAACGACTTTCAGCTGAGATGAATTTAATGAATGAATATTCGTGAAAGAATAAATTCACGAACGCGCCAAATTCGATACAATTGAAACAATATAATTTAATCACGAAAAAAAAATTAAATAGACGCTTAATAAATGAACGATATCATAATGTTTAACTCCATACTTGACAGTAATGAATAGTAATGAATAGTGAAGTCAGAGAATGAGAAATGAGAGTATGCCATTGCTATACTTAGCACTTTAAACCCAAAAACTAACGTGAGCTGGCTGTACACGGCCTAACACATTTAGGGAAAAATAGAAAAGAAATGAAAAGAGAAGGGGGCCCAAAATGTGTACTTGAAGAAATGTCATCTTGCGTTTGCCGAAGCCGAGCGGTTTGTCTTCGGAGTTTGTTCGGCTGCGCGGCCGAAAGGACGCAACGACCACCGCCTGCCACCAGAATGTAAGAGTTATATATGGGACCTCTGAACATTGATGACAAGGAGTAGTAAAAGTTTAGTGGCTTAAAACTCTTTTATTGATAGAGCTAGCAAGCACATGGAGTTGATACACAATATGACACTTGGGTATTGGGCGGTCGGCTAGAGGGTCGCCCGGGGTCACTGGCGAGCCCAGCCCCGGTCAGACGTGACCTCAACCGCGGCAGGGCAAACTCTCCTTTGACCGGTCAAAACGCGGCCTTAAGTATCCGAGGCGGGAGACGAGTGGGAATGAGGCTAGGTAGCAAGCGGCGTGGGTACGCTTCGCTGTGCGGCTTGGCGTGGTGTAAGCATCCATGTGGTCGCATACAGTATATTGTATACAGAGGGAATGGTACCGGTCTGCCAGATGGCAGACAGGACTGCATGCAAGTCCCTTGCCATAGGTTCTCCACCGGCCTTTAACAGTTCAGCTGGGATGCCACAAACACCTGCTGCTTTTCCACTCTTCAGCTTGGAGATCACCCCCCTGACTTCAGTCATGGAGGGTGGATTCTCGCTGATGGGTGGGTCTGGCAGAGGAATCTCGACATTCCCTGCGTCCATGTTAATTGTTGATAGATCAACCTGATACAACTGCTCAAAATACTCAGCCCACATGCACCCCATCAGGATCTGAGATTATCTGGCCATTTGCTGAACAGACTGCAGTCGTCTGTGAGGAGGGCTTGGAGTTCAGCTTTCTCAGGGCATGGTAGGCAGGGTGAAGGTTATTTACTAAGAAATGGCTTTCGACTTCCTCTGCAAGATTCCTGATAAACTGTTCCTTATCCCCTCTCAACAGTATCTTAGTCCTATGCACCAGAGAACGGTGCAAATTGCGATCCCCTGACAATCGAGCCACACGACAAGCATCTGTGGCTTCCAGTGTCTCCTGTGAGATGAAATTCTGTCTTGCTCTTGAGCGTTCACCAATCGATTCATGGGCTGTGTCAAGCGTTTCATGCTTGAAGGTGTACCACAGAAGAACAGGGTCTGTCAGGCCCTCAAGTGCTGTGAAACGACCAGAGATAGCCTCGGCAAACCCCCGGGCACACTCATTCTCCCTCAATCTGTCCAAGTGAAACACCCTAGGGTACTCATTTGGGCGACAGGGCGTTCTAAAGTGGACCCAGAGAGTAGCCACAACTAATCTATGATCGGTTCCACAGAACTCTGCGCTTCGATACACCCTGCAGTTCTGGAGGATCCTCCATCGAGTGCTAACAAGGATGTGGTCGATCTCCTTGACCACACTACCCGTATCGCTGTACCATGTCCAACGATGCGGGTTAGAGCGCTGATACCAGGAGCCAGAAATCCTCAATTTCTGGGACCTAGCAAAGTCACGGAAAAGGAGGCTATTCTCGCTGCCAGCATCAGCTCCTGAGCCATGAGGACCGACAGACATCTCA